CTTCTTCGAGTACTGAATCCGCGGATAGCAGCGAATTATTTATTGGAAAATCTCATCGTGTCGATTGAGATTTTCCCGAATAAAAGGACAATCGGCCTGTTGTCGAAGCGATCGCAGTGCACGCTGCGTGTGACGCGATCGTAGACGCAGGATTGTGATTGAACGTTGCAGTTCGTTGTCTCGACTGCAACGTTGGGGATTCGGTGTCGTTTACATTGAGTCCTTTCCGTTATTGAAAAGGTTGAACCTCTGGAAGGTTGATACCGACATACAGGTATCTCCTTAAAGTGCGTTCTCCTTTCACGGGATCGAGGAACCCACTCGAATCACCCGTCTGGTGTACCATATAGAGTGCACCGACCGGTGGAGTTGTGGTTTCGTCGACCCGTTGAAGCTATACGGTGTAAGAGCTGCCGGTAGGTAGATATCCAGGTACTGGTATCTCCTCGTGGTGCTCTCCGTGCATCGGGCTGCGGAGAACCCGCTCCAGTGATCCCGTCGTGAGGTGACGATCGTTTGAGCACAAGCGTACGGTGGAGCAAAGGGTTCGAAGAGCCTTCCTTCCGCCTCTACCCCCACTACCAGCTGTGTGAATCACACTGGGCTGTGACAGTAGGGTGGTTGGAGTTGCAGAGGGCTTCGTCTGATTCCGGCAGGCCGCAGGTCGCTCCTCGTTGCATAGGAGCCACTGTCGAGGTAGTCACGGCAGGCTGCCGGGCGGTCCTTTTGATAGGAACCGTTATCGAGGCAGCTGCGTGGGCAGGCCGCAGGTCGCTCCTGAGGAGCCGCCGTCGAGGTACCCAGAACAGTCAAAAAAGTCCTCTTGCGTCGGTGGCGTCCAGACGCCACCCGCACGGTGAGCGTGCTCGCGGGATATAGCCTCTTGGAGCCTTACAACCTCCATTTGGTTTCCCGTCCGTGGCATTGCGAAGTGAACCCGGTAGATCGGAGGAAAACCTCGTCTACTCGGTTGCGCGTGTCGGTGAGATCGTGTTTCACGAATACCACCGACCAAAAAAGCAAATTATTACAGTCCACTCGTTGCTGCGCCAAATCGGCAGTTAGCTCTCCTCTGCGCCCACCAGACAATCGTTTGGAGCGTGAGGTAAGCAGCTGACGTGCGCGTTAACTTGATCGCTGTCCGCAGATACTTATACTTTTCGTATAATTGTGTTACAGAAACCAGTAACAAAAGGAAAGAGGAGACGCGACCAAATTGAGCGGTCGGCGTCAAGGAAAATCCCTTTAATTCCTGTCTTATTTATTTTCGAATTATTTCACAAGTTGTATTTTTGTTTGACTTTCGTGTATAATAAAAAATTAATTGAAATCTTGTACCAATTTCTCTACCCTGTCTTTTCCCTCGTCCGGAACCACACCGTTAGAGTCCCTTAGTACTCTAACAAACCCGTATCGTGTGGCAATGTTCGACGACAGAACGGCAAGCGTTCCGCTATTTTGGGGAACCGCCTATAGGAAGGTGTTACGTCCCGACGAACGGGTCATTAGCCGCGACTATTTGACACTTCCTTAGAGTCAGCATTGTCATCGAATTCCTCTCTCTTTCACAAGAGGCCTGCACGCGGAGGTCCGTAAAGCGGGTCAATATGGTCATCAAATTCTTATCTCCTTCTCAATAACCTTGCGCATGGAAGTTCAGCAAAGCAAATTCAGCACTGCAGCATGGGTTAAAACCCCATGAATTAGGCTAGTGCGGGGCAGTCAGTTGTTAAATCGCGAGGTGCGTGCTGTCTGTCCCGGATAGTTTGTAAGAGCAGAGTTCGTCGGTCAATCCGCGAAGGACTTGAACTACCCGTTAACCAAATCTTTTTCGAAATTTATTATTATTATTATTGTTACCATTATATTTCTCCCTAGTATTATAAGTGTCTAGTGGAACTCCTCTGAATTCAAGCTACGACCATTGTGCAAAGTGAAAAGAGAAAGAGAGAGAGAATATAGCGCTGGATTGGGGAGCAGGAAAATTATAATCCATTTGTACCAAATTTCGGTTCTTCTATTTCGCGAAATACATATATGTCAATGTCCATCACATTTCGTTTCTTTCTTTAATATATATATTTTCGCAGACTTGTATTCAACGAGCGAGGAGTTTGTATAAGCTCAGATCAACTCCGATCCCATATACTTTTCCTTTGAGAACTCGAAGGTGTTTAAAGCGTTACGCCGGGGTACGAGCAATCGCTCACGACCACGTACCATCATCCTCCCCTACCCCGCACGTAACAGCTAAACTGGTGGCAGCGGTGGGATACGAATTGGTTAAAAAAATTCGTTCGTTGATGAAATTCTGGAAAATTCAAAATTAAAAAGACAGTAATCGTATATTTCGCTTTTGAATTCTGTTAAAAAGTAATGGATATATACTTTTAACGTGTGAGTCCGGATAGAGGTGTGGGAGTTTTATAGGGGAAGTGAATCGGACACAAATGGTTTTCTTTTCGTCGGCCTTTAAGACCGACCGTTTATTCGAAAAAAACAAATAAAAGAAACAAAAGAAACCAATTAACAATTCGAATCAAAACTTAACGAGGCTGAATAAGAATATTAATTGGCCTCGTTTCTGCCTAGCTCGATGCTGGGTCGCCGAACTCGCAGGATTGAGGCAGGCCAAGATTCCTAGGAACAGAAAAACACGACTATGTGTTAGACACACGTACACGGTATACGTATCTTCGTCGCGCTCGTTTGCTCGCGCTCCTGGCTTCGTAATTCGAACGCACCGGAGCGGAGAATTGTAAACTCGTCGTAAATTACGAAATATAAAAGTGGACTGTATTTTGGCTAGGAAAAGAATTAAACTTCTTTTCTTCGCCGATTCAGTGGTCGATTGCCCAGTGGACGGGGATGCAAGAGGAGGTTGTAAGGCTCCTAATGCACTGTTCCCGTGAGTATGCACACTGAGTCTGTGCGTCGAGTCGCACTGCAGTGCACTGCACGACCGTCAATCTGCGGCTTCTCTTAACACGTTCCAACAGATGACTTATTTGGCCGAGAGTTACACTGCGAAGCCCGACAACACGTTGTTCACTGCACGAATACACTACTCGACGTGATACGTTGCAGTATTTTGAACTACGCGGGGGCCTGACCCACGACTCCGTTACTTCTCCGCACTGGTGCTCCTCTAAACGTTACACCGGCGGGATCTGTAGAAATAAGGAGGCGAAGACCGAAAATCACACGTCCAAAATGGACGTGGACCTGACTACAGTGAGCCCACCAGGAGGTACACCACGTAGGTGCCTCCCTTTTGGTGTCTCCTATGCCGAAGGGCAATCACACAGAAGTATGGACGGTACCGCCGACTTCTGTATGATTCAACGTGTATACGTTGGAATCGACCTTTAAATTCCGCACAGGAGGGGTCGAACACCCTATTGGTGTATTCTCGAGCCCTCCAAAATATGCAGTAAATTTAAATTAATTAAACTCGATCGAGATTTGCTCGAACGAGAATCAGGTGAACTTGCACGAATCGAGATGCGAATCGTGTTTTTCCAAGCAAGGTGGGAATGAATTTCCGACCTTTTCGAGCAAGGCTCGCTACACCCTTTTAAACAGCAGTCTTTATGGCTTTCTCGCAAGAGGATTTTCCCTCTTAAATCGCGATTAACTTCTGATCGAATATGATCGGGAGCCGATGCGTCTCGTTCAGAAGTCGCCGTAAGAATGATACGGATTGACAGCCGAAGACGTCGCCGCGGTACTCTTACTGGTCGTTCCGTGGCGCTGTCTGAATTTCGGCCGTCTCTCCTTGTCACATTATTGGCGCACTACTCTCTCACGGTACTGACGTCACTAACACCGTTAGCACACTCGAATCGAAAGGTAATGAGCCGTTACCGATGCCAGAAAAACTCATAATAAACGCGTTTTTCAATCACCGTTCGCTATACAAATCCAATTAGAGATAATCTCTTGGTTATTGTACGTTAACAGGATTAACGGTAATTGCGGCCGAGGCTAATCGCTCGGCATTATGCAATCTTTAAACATACCGCCCCCCTTGCACGGTCCGTGCAATGAACTAGGGAGCGATTCTACCGAATGGCCGCGACCCGAGTGAGAGTAGGCGCATGCAAATTAAAAAACAATGCAATCTACTTACAGTTGTTGGGGGGGGGGCCGCTGGTGGTTTTCCCTGCATCACTTGCAGGGAATTAAGGACCGCCTGCAGGGCCTCCAACGGAATCATTTTGCCCTCCGATTGGCGGTGGGGGTTGGCAGGCCTCCGCCTGCGCCTCTCCCTCCGGCTTTCCGGCTTCTGTGTCCGGTGCTCCGGCCCCCTGGACTCGGCTGCGCGTGGTTGGCGGTGCCGCTGCCGCTTCTTGGCGTTCGCCTTCGTCGGCTGCCCGGCTGATGCAGGCGCAGCCGGTGCTGGCGCGGCCGCTGCAGCTGACGCTGCAGGTTGAGCCGGCGTCGGCGGCTGGTCCCTCCGGTGGTCGATGGACTTCAGCGTCCCGTCCTTATACCACCGGAGGACGTAGCATCCTCCGGGAACGAAGCTCTTCCACCGGCGACTCGTGCGTGGGATGTGTTCCGGCACGGTGATCACCCGGTTGCCCACTGGGAATATCAGGGGCTCCTGGCCTCCCTTGCTGGTCGAGGGCACTGGCGGAGTCTCCTCGGCCTCTCGTTTTGTGGGGGGCATTTCTGCCAGCCCTCCCAGCTGGAGGATTCGCTCGAAAGCGACGTCGAATCCCGGCGAGGATATCGCGGTTTCCGGGGTCGCGGGGCTTGATTGTGTACCTTCGCCTTCCATGGTTAATCAGGAACTGATCTGTTTCGGCGAAGAGTGGTTCAAATTTCGATTTAGGGGCGTTAGCGGAGGCTAATTGTCCCCGTGCCTAAGCGATAACGAGATTGGTGGATATTACCCCCTACTTTCCGTTTTCGCATAGGCGACAAGCGGCCGGTGAGAATCAACCGTTCTCACCTTCCGAAATCCTTGTACTTTCGAACTTGAACGGTTTTGTTTAGATCACCTGTTCGGCTTCGGGAACCGTTGCCGAAGGTGACTCAAACGAAAACTCAGCCACAGGCAGTTTACACAATCGCGTAATTGGTCGTGTATATGTGGATTTGGCTGTACGTACTTTAACTACACGTACATGCCCATCCTTTCCCGGAAATACTTCCTCTATTCTTCCCATTTCCCACTGATTTGGGGGGAGGAGAGGATTCTGTACCAGAACAAGATCGTTCTTTTTTAGGCGTGTATTTTCCGTCTGCCATTTGTAGCGGTTCTGGAGATGCGTGAGATAATCTCTCGTCCAGTGTCTCCAGAGCTGCTCGTGGAATTTTTGCATTGCTCTCCATCTTGTAAGATGCGAAATATTTGCATTTTCCACGGATTGCATTGGGGGTGCCAACGTAGGCCCTCCGATTAGGAAGTGGGCCGGTGTGAGAGGCGCGTAATCATCTGGGCTGTCACTCAGAGCGGCAATCGGTCGCGAGTTTAAACTGGCTTCGATTTTACAGAGTAACGTCTGTAATTCTTCGCTCGTGGGAGTGAATTCTCCTATGATGCGCTTCAAATGATGCTTCACTGATTTGACACCAGCTTCCTGCATCCCACCAAAATGGGGGGCACTGGGTGGATTAAATTTCCACCGAATGCCCTTCTGGCCACATTCGTTTCGCATTTCCGGCGTTTTACACACCATATTGAAATGTTTTCTTAATTCACGATCTGCACCGACGAAATTTGTCCCGTTGTCACTGCGTATGCAGGACGGGATTCCTCGTCGGGCAATGAATCGCTCCAATGCAGCCAAAAATGCACTCGTCGTGTAATCGTGGACGAGTTCAATGTGTATAGCCCTTGTAGCGAAGCAGACAAAAACCGCTATGTACGCTTTATGAGCTGTTTTTCCTCGGCCCGCGGAGTCGCGGACTTTGTACGGTCCCGCATAATCAACTCCGCAGTTTAGAAAAGCCCGGGCTGGACGACTTCGTTCCAAGGTCAAATCCTGCATGATCTGCGTGGAGGTTTGTGCCCTCCATCTCACGCATTTCATGCATTGATGAATGACCTTTCGAGCTGTGGTTCTGCAACCGAGGATCCAAAATTGCTGTTTTACCATGGATATCGTCAGCTGCAAGCCCCCATGCAACGTATTTACGTGGCACTGCCGGATTATCATGGTGGACACATGATGTTTTGGCAAAATTATGGGGTGCTTCGCTTCCCATGCCAGCGTCGCATTCTCCAATCGTCCACCTACCCTTAAGACATCGTGTGCGTCTAGGAACGGGTTCAGACGTTTTAATGGAGATTTCGCGGGAATTTCCCTGCGCTTTTTTAAGCACTGGTACTCGCCCGCGAAGTGCGTTCGCTGTATGTAGCGGACGATTCTTTCCTTGGCGAGCTGCAATTCTGAAGCTTCGACAATGTTTGCATCGAACGACCTTCGCTCACCTTGCATCGGTCTTCGTAATCGGAGACAATATGCAGTTACGCGAAGTAGCTTACTCCAGGTTGAGAATCGAAACACGAATTCCCATTCTTTCTCTGGAGTTGCAACGTGGGCGTGCGGAATGCGCTTGCCCTCGCTCGTGTCGATGGAATCAGGCGTTTTCGGCCAATTTTCTTCAGATTGTCTTAACCATGCTGGTCCAGAAATCCATAGCTTCGACTGAATGAGTTCCGCTGCTTCGACACCGCGCGAATTCAAATCCGCGGGATTGAAGCGGGTGGGAACGTGTCTCCATTCAGCCTTCGGAAGCAAGGTTTGGATTTTTGATACTCGGTTGGCTATCACAACCTTCCAAGTCGAAGCATGTTTTTTCAACCAAGCAAGTGTAATAGTGGAATCTGACCAACAGATTATGCGGTCAATTTTTATGGAAAGTGACCGTCCCACGTGCACTATAAGCTCGGTAAGCAGTACAGCTCCATTCAATTCGAGAATCGGAATCGACTGCGTTTTTATAGGAGCCACCCTCGTTTTTGCCATGATCAAGGTTGTGTAAACTTCCTCGGTCATGGTCGTTACGCGTAAATACGTAACGGCCGAGTACGCTCCGAGCGAAGCATCGCAGAATCCGTGTAATTCCACCGAAACTGTGTCTGCTCCGTAACGGATCCATCTGGGAAATTTTACTTTTTCCAAACTGCTCCAATCCTCGCAAAACGTGTTCCACGTTTTTAACGTATTCGCGGAGACATGATCGTCCCACTGGATTTTTTCCAGCCATTGGGATTGCATCAAAATCTTCGCCCGAATTACGACTGGTGATAACCAGCCGAGCGGATCGTAAAGTTTGGCTATTTCGGAAAACAAAGTTCGTTTTGTAATCGGACCTGCAGCCGGTTGAAACCGTTGCAGGTTGAAATAGAAGTAATCACCCGATGGTATCCATCGCAATCCGAGCACCTTGAGTTCGGTGTCATCGAATAAGGTGAGATCGACAGCGTGGGAGTGAGAACTTTGTGGGATGTTTCGCAGTAATTTCTGTGAATTGCCAGCCCACTTTCTCAATTTAAACCCGCCGCCCTGTAGGAGTTCGCAAACTTGAATACGAATTTTTTCCAATAGGGTCGTATCGGGTGCCCCCATAAATACGTCATCAACGTATATGTCTTTCTCGAGTATCGGAGCGGCGAGAGGAAATCTGTCACCGTCCCGTTTTTTCAGCTCGAGAAGAGTACGCATCGATAAATATGGTGCACACGCCGTTCCGTACGTAACGGTGTTTAATTCGAAGGCTTGAAGCCCTTCGGTTTCGGGCGTGCGCCATAAGATGCACTGAAATCGACGATCCTGCGGGGCGACGAGAATTTGTCGGAACATTTTCTCGATATCGGCCACCAACACGTATTCGTACAGCCTCCATCTCGTCAAAACGGACGTGATGTCGTTCTGCAATTTCGGCCCTACGTGTAGGATGTCGTTTAGGGAGTTTCCACCCACCGTACGGCTCGTCGCATTAAACACGACTCGCAGTTTGGTAGTTGCACTCTCCGTACGGATGACCGCTCGATGCGGAATGTAGAGTCTGGATTTTTCAGAGGGCTCGATACGAGTCATGTGTTCCAACGACTCATACTCCGTGAGAAATTCTTGATATTCTCGTACGAGGGTCTGATCCTTGTCCAATTTCCTTCTCAACCTTGTCAATGCGGAGAGGGCGATACGGAGTGAATCTCCCAATGCACCTTCCGGTTTCGGATGATTAAACGGCAATCGGACAATAAATCTTCCCGTTGCATCCCGTGCGACAGTTTTTTGGAAATGAGCTTCGCACTCTTCCTCTGCTTTTGTAAGCACCGAGGTCGAGGGAATTTCTTCAATTTCCCAGAACCGTCGAATCGCGTGATCCAGCGATTCGAATATGTTGCAATGCAACGTTCGCACGTGACCCTGGGCCTTGCTCGCTGCATCTATCGGTCCGGATAATATCCAGCCAAATGCAGTTTCTTGTGCAATAGGCCCTTCGGGAGATATTCGACGGAATCCCGACCGAATAACTTGAGCGTACAAATCTGCGCCGATCAAAACTTCAATGTTTTGGCCAGACGCGGGCTCGGGATCGGCGAGCTTCAGGTTTCGCAACGCGTCGTTATCGAGCGCGTTTACAGATGGCGAGGCATAACTCGTGATTTTTGTCACGACGTACGCTCTCGCCGAAACCACAGGAGTTACCCCGGAAGGCGTTCCCAAATTCAGCCCTACGCTGTACTTGATTTTTGGGTCCGACCACCCCCCAAGCCCGATACCGTGGCTGAGGTTTTCTTCCTCGGGAGGTTGAGGTCATTCCTCAATTTCGCCGAGATGAAGGATGTTTCGGACCCTTGATCTAACAGCGCGCGCGTTAAACGCGATGCACCGTTTTCTCCGTACACTCGTACGATCGCGGTTGCTAATAGCACCGGCCTCGGTACGTCTGTACTTGCCGTACAGTGTGACGTAGTGGCCCGTGACGTAGCTGCTTGCGCGTTCGAGGTATCGGTGCCGGCTTTCGCCTTAGCCGTACGGCGCTGTGGAGGGGCGTTATCTCGCCGTTCCTCGCGCTTGCCGTTCGAATATTTCGATTTCGGCTTTTGGCTTTCCGCCTCTTTTTCGCGTTGTTCGAAATGCAACAGGATGTGATGCCTGCCACTGCATCTCGAACAACCTTGTTGGCTCCGGCAGCCTCTTACGTCGTGATCCAGGGCCAGACAGGCTATACATCCCTGACTGTCCTTTATGATCTGGTAACGTACCAGTGCGGAGAAACGCTTAAATGTGCCGCATTCCGAGAGTGCATGCGTTTGTCCGCAAATCGTGCACTTTCGCTGCGCAGGGGGGGAATCCACGACGGTGTTATGACTCCGTACTCGTGGCTTCTGTTCCTGTTTTGAGGCAATTTTGCGGTTATGTTCGTCAATTACGGACATAGCCCGCGCCTCCTGA